CCGTAATCACGGAAGAGTACAATGCCATTTGGTTTCAATAGTTCCCTCAAGTTCTTCACAACAATTGGAAACTTTTTCGGATTTATTGCTGACAAGACGAACACCATTGTGATAATATCTAGCGAAGATTTTGGTATAGTATCTAATAGTTCTTCAGTGGTTATATCACATTGAAATGCTTTCATACAATTTTCATCGTATAATGAATTCGTGCGTACAAATTCTATTGCACGAGGTGAAAAATCGCAAGCGTAGTAGAAAAATTTATTTGCAAGAGTTTTATCCTCGATTAGAGGATATATAAGATTACCAACCCCACAGCCTACTTCCAACATATATCGTTTTTTTGAATTTGTGGTAGTACCACTGTCAGTGTCGCATAATAATTCCGTAAACTCTCTTGTCGTCCAACGCCGGTCTTTAAAAAATCTAGTTTCATTCCTTTTATAGAAAAGATCCCAATTCCTTTGTGCTTGCAGTTCCAACTCTTTTGCTTTAAAATCAGATACCAATCGTTTATCTTGCTCATGTAAACGTTGCTTTTCCTCATCTGTAAGACACTTCTCATTATTTGTAAATATGTCTTTAATTAGTCCAGTTTCATTATCCTCATTCATATTTTGGAAAGGGCAAAATACGTGTTCGGATATTCCAATTTGTGATGCACTACGAATACCAGGCTACTTTAATATTATTCCTACCTACAAACTTGAAACGATTTTTGTTGAAAAGCAGAATGGCACTGCCAGCATGAAAAATCTATAAGATAAACAATGATTTCATACAATATTTGCGTTTTTTGGTCAATTTTGTATGTAGTAGATGTAGGAACTCAATTATTATTATTGTTAAGGGATGTGACTCTGCGACTGTCGGGTCAATTGTGCTCCTTCTGGGTTTAGAGTAGGTCTCTAAATCCTCTTGTGTTAATATAAAGTAGCATAGAACCTATTTTTTAAAGTTTTATTGCCTCTATCATAAGAATATACATTCCCAGTAGTCTATTCCGTTTGTGTATTAGCGCAGGGCATTTTAACAGCACATTTGTGGTAAACTTCTCATTCTATTCACGGAATCTACAGTTTGCATCCATAAGTATTCCCAGTCTTATTAAACATAACCTACCTTAGACATTTTTTCAGAAAAGCGTTTTTTGTGTTATTTACAGTGATTTGTAAATTGAGTGTTCGCGAAAAAATGAAATTAACGCGAGAAAATTTTCGTGCGATGATTTATTACGACTTTCGACGTGGATTACCAAGACAAGTATGCATCGATTAACTTACTTTCACATTTGGCGATGAAGCTACATCTTTTGCCACTCTGAAACGCTGGCACATTGATTTTAATCGTAAACTGTTATAAAAACTAATTTTAATTTTCAATTTAATTCAATTATGCCGTGTGCCAATAGGCGCAAAATCTTGCATTATTATACAGCAAAATTGTTCCAAACAATATGTCACCGTGTCACCACAATGTGCTTCGAAAGTCTGTACAACTAGATAAATTTTAGACAATCTCTAAAAATGACAATCGAACATTGACAAAATTCGATAATAAAACTTGACAGATCTAGAGTAAATCCAGATTGAATCCAGATTTATCAATCGAAAACGCCATTAGATTATATTGAAAACTTTTGCGTGACCATTACTGCTTACATACGGACTTAACGGTATACTTAGATCTTTAAGTTTTTCACACTATGCTTCTGAAATATTCCATGTGGTTAGCTTATTTGGTTTGCAATTGACAACGATATCCTTATGATCGAACCAAGAGACGAGATTTGTTAAACTTTGCTCTTTCGGTTTAGAGAAAAAGCATAGAAATAAGTAAGCTTAGTTTTTGTATTTAAATATAAATAGTAAATGTTTATCAAGATAAAAATATGTTTTATTTTATTTTATATAGAGTAATTCTAAAATGCATAAGGCAATCAAAATTATTACTGAAAATTGTGCAACCTATTTCTTTTAAATTACGTTTGTTGGAAGTGAAAGTTCAGTCTGGCAGTGCCATAGTATACCTTTAGCTAATTTGACATATAAAGAAATTAGTGATAATTGTAAGTAAGACATACGACTGACTGAGGAGTCAAAAATAACTTTTGCTGTTTTATCATAAAGTATTTTTTGTTAAAAAGACGCTGAAAATTATATTATTTTCCATAAGTTTAACACAGCAAAAATGACTGCTCCACGTCGTTTGCGAAAAGAGCTATCAGATTTGCAGACATCATCATTGAAAACTTTTCGTGACATTGCGACTGAGGATGATAATCTCTTGCGTTGGACCGGTCTTATTGTACCAGATAATCCCCCATACAATAAAGGGGCCTTCCGCATTGAAATAAATTTCCCTGCTGAATATCCGTTCAAACCACCAAAGATCAATTTCAAGACTAAGATATATCATCCCAACATTGATGAGAAAGGTCAAGTGTGTTTGCCAATTATCAGCACTGAGAATTGGAAACCAGCAACAAAGACAGATCAGGTAATACAGGCACTTATATCACTAGTTAACTATCCAGAACCGGAACACCCGTTGCGTGCAGATTTAGCGGAAGAATTTTTAAAGGATCGAAAAAAGTTTATAAAGAATGCTGAGGACTTTACACGTAAAAATAGTGAGAAACGTCCTGCAGATTAGGTATCCCATAACAACCAGCAAACATTTACAAACTATTCGATAGTATGCAAACCACAGACAAAGAGTTAAACAATGAACAGGAGCATTTCAAAATTCATTAATCGTAATATTTTGGTTTTTAGTATCTTACAAACTGGCGGATTAAATTCAAGTAAAACTAATTTAGCATAACAAAATTGTCTAAATTAATTATTAAATTAGAAAATTAAGTTAATTTCTTAATTTACTTTTTCAATTTGTTAGGGTGTTTTGTGTTTTGTTATCCTTTATGCTATTTGCACTATGTTTTAAAATGTCGTCTTATGCTTTAAAATTTCAAAAATAAAATTTTCATAAAAAATACATTGACTAGATAATGACTTCATAATAAAAATATATTTAGAGTTAATAATTTATCCAAACAAAATACTTTTAAATTTTTTAATTAAAATTTGATTGTTATATTCCATTATCCTATTGCCAAATTTATTCCTATGGAGTTCGCTTATATCTGTGAAACACAAAATTTGTTGTTTATTCGCAAGTGAGCCATGTAATGAGGTAATGGCATCTACAGCGGCATCGGTAAATCCATGTTCGTGTTCACATTTAATGTATATGGCATGCGTTGGATCGGTTGTAATTTTTAGCTCTGTGAATACATTTCGGCTTAAGAACCGTAATAACGAAACACTGAAATGCGTTAAAAAAGCCATGTTTTCGAAAGCAACTGCCGTTGGACGTAGTTTGTAGATTGCGTTTACAACAGCAATAAAGAAACTCAACTGCATATCTGCAAAGCTTATAAATCCAGTACTACAGAACGGTATTTCCACATCATTATTGATAATACATTTGGGTGAATTTTGACAGACAATGGGATAAGTAAGTAAATCCTGAAGTTTGTGGTAAAGCAGCAAGACAGGCAATGAAACAAATAAACTGCTTTCCAGTTTTGCAACAGGTTTTCCGATATAAATTTTTAGTCTACAGTCAGATTTCTCTGTAGAACGTCTCAGTTCTTCATACAAAACACCGTTTTTGAATATAAATAACTTTTCAAGTTCGTTTACGGAGCTGCATAGTATATAAATCTGTTGTTCCTTTGGCTTAGTTTTAAGCTGTTCGCGTTCTGAGTACGAACCTTTATAAACGCCTGTTTTATAGCTGATTTCCAAGCTGTTCTCACATTGATGCAAAATTTTCAATTGCGCTGGAATGGACTTTAATTGATAGCGCTTGAAGAACTCTTTACTCACTAAGCGGCGCATTGCATTGCTCCGTCGTACCATATATTTCGATTTTGATTCATACACGTAAATGTTTGACTCAATGGCCTGAATTTGATGGTTCATGAATATTCGTGTGCAGACTTCATGCTGCATTAGAAAATCTTTTGGTAGTTGTTTAAAGCCAAATATAGGCAGCAAATTGTTCTGCTCGTCTAAGTTTTTTTTCATTATTTTCAGAGTGTCTGCTAAATGTTTCGTGTCCTTTTTATAACCCAAACATATTATATAGTTTTCAGAATTCCCCCGCTTTGAGGTAGCTGGTTTGAACACATGCACTTCTTCGAAAACGCAATTTAACAAAAATAATTTGCTGACAGTAATCGCTTCAAAGAGCGTAAATAATTTAAGCACAAATGAGCCGCCATTTCCTAATATCGTTAGAGCTGCAAGCATTTCAGCAAAGTGCAGGATTGATGTGTTGGACTCTTGGCAATCGGGATTCTCTACACAATCAATGCTACCGTCTGCTGTGATGAGATCAGCGTCACCGTCAAAGTATTCCAGGCATCTCTCGTGCATATGTTTAATGTTTTGGTTGCACATTATATTGCCTGTAAAATCTTCATGGAAGAGCCAATGATCAAGAGTTCTTAACATAAAGCGATGGTCACTAATCATTTTACCAAAGGGATTACCTTCATAGTACGGGTTGAGTGTAGTTGATAGCCATTTCCACTCCACCTAAAGTCCAAAACTAAATATAAGTAATGTATGGTTATATTACATTTCAATTATTTACTTGCTCTTTATTGTATGTGGAATATAAATAATGATTTAGTGCTGATATAAAAGCTCCTGGTGCTTCACACAAATGCAATGTATTAAGCTTTGGCTTCTTTACAAGTGGAAATTTGTGCAAGCACTCGTATAACTTACACCAAGCTATTGTTACAAATTCAGCATTGATTTCATTCTTGAGACGCCAAGTTATATCACCGGATGGGTCCATTCGCCTTGTATGTGTGCTCCATTCTTCAATCGCATAATCATTTAATTTACCTTTCACGCTATTAAGTGTCCTCTTAAGCTGCTGCAGCGTTTCTATCTGATAAAATTCCTGAAAGAGTTGTGCTGCTGGAGGTAGTACCCATTTTGAATTAGTTTTAGGTTTAATATAACCAAATTTTTTCTCAAACACTTGATTCACCTCCTCTTCAGTTATGTGGTCCGATGACGACGCCATTGCCGGCTTTGGTGAGTTTATAGATTCCACTTGCGGTAATACTTCGCATTTAGTTGCAGACATTTTTATGTATTCATTGCGTATATGTTAAATAGAATAATATTAACACAATTTAATTATCTAAGTAGAAATTTTTAATTTACTTAATAATTTTACTGCGCTTTAAACTTTTTAGCCACTCACAAACAAAAACAATAAATACGTGCACAGGGTGGCTCTAGCGCGTTGCATTTTAACAATACCGTAAAATTTTTTATCGTAAATCGTATTATCTCTGGAAAAATTACACTGCAAGCCAGAAGTTTACGGCGAAGTAATGAACAAAAGTAATGTTTCTTGCAAAGAAACAGCAAATGAATGATAACAAGCAAAATAAAAATATTACGAACAAAATCGAAAGGTAACACATGTGATAAAAATTATTTAACTAAATATGTACATACTTTTAAAGCACAAAATAATTTGGAAGCAAGATGTGAATTTAGGACGAGAGGTCATTAATGTTTATAACAGAAACAGTTATTTGTTTTAAGCTTGTTTATATTAACCCTATGAAAATATTTAGTTTTTCGTTAAAAGAATAACAACACGTTAAGATACAACAAGGCTATGTTACGTCTTATATCTTTATTTGTACAGAAAGTTCTGATGTTATATTCTGAAATACCATTTATTTTAAATTATATCTAAGAACTGAGCTCATTTTTGATAACAAAAATGAATTAGATGTCAGCTGAGTTTTAGCTGACAGAAGAAATATTATTCTTATATAGAAATGTATATTTTTTTATTTTGGGGCGAGAAACTACTTTCACATTTTGGGGAAATAGATAATGTCTGTTAACATAGTTAATATTGATTGTAATTCAGATAGATCGATTTAAGGAAGTGGATACCTAAAGTTCATAGACGTCTACTAATGGGAATTGCCAACCACAAAGCATATAAGCAATATTTTTTTCTTTCTTCTCTGATCCTTAAATTCAATAGTTGTAGTTTAAATTAGCTTCTAATCGGTCGGTATGTATACTTATTAGATAGTATCCTTATTCGTGATAGTATTATATAGATAGTATATATAGATAGTATTATTATTCCTTAACATGTTCCTGATTTTCGTGTTAATATATCTACTTTAATCAAAGCCATAAGGTTAAATGGTGCTGAGTTTGATAAGTCGGATGTTTAGAAGAAGTGAACTCAGATGTATGCATAATATTTACCACGTAAAGATTTGTTATGAAATCCGGATTGGAAAAAGCTATTGAAATAAATACAATAGTTTTATCTTAATCGATAATAAAGGTTAGCAAGATTCAAAACAACATCTGTAAGTTTCTGAATTAAGCTAAATAAAGAAATCTTTAACTATGCATAAAACGTATAAAATTAGGTCGATTAGAAAAATGGTTTATACTTTTGAGATATTCTTACTACTTTGTTATAATGTGTTTGAATAGCTAACAATCAAGAAAAAATCAAGAGATATTTTGTTGCTTTAAGCTACTATCTTTCGAATATAGTACATATTGTTTAGCTTTTATTTTTTCAATTATTTTTTTTTTAATAAAAAAACGTCTGCCTTGTTTCATGCGTTTGTGTTGGCATTCTTTATCATAATGTTCGCCAGAAATATACTGCTTCAGTTTCTCTATATATCGCAATGCTAATTACTTTCATATACCGTACTGTACCGCAGCAGTAGAACTCCACTAATCCGATTCCACTAAAATTGCGATTAATCCGGATTGTTGAGGTATTCGGATTACTTGAGTCATAATAAAGATTCTGGAAAATTCTTATGTATGTTTATATGTTTATTTTAATAACAGAAACTAAATAAAAATCCACTGCCCATTAAATTAATTATAAATTACACACATACCAGCATGTAGACATACATGTTGATAACCTATACATTTTTTGAAAGAGCAGCTCAGCCTGATTAAGATAATGTAATAACCTGCAGATAAGCTAAACAATTCATGCCGAATTGATCAAAAGCCAGAACTAAGCAGCTTCTAATGCTGAACAGATATGGCATCCGCCTTGTCACAGGGTTTCTCACTGAACATTGCGGAGTAAATAAGGTATTAAAAGAGACGATAGCTGCAGATTTTGTTGCGAAGAAGAGGAAACAGCGGAACACATTCTGTGCCACTGTGATAGTCTCGCTAGACTCAGACTTCGGTACTTATCAACTTCATATCCACTTATAACGGAATTACGCAACATCTTTCCAAAGGAAATAATGGGGTTCTTAACTGCTACTCGTCTATGGAATTACAGTGGGTGTGTCACAATAACACTTAAGGGATGCAGTGACGTAGTAAGAAGTTCCCAACCCGTTTAAAATCTATCTATCTAACCTATAAATGTAATTTATTTTACTTGACTGTCGCGCAGATATGTTCATAGCATGTCATCCAGCTTAGAGAGTTAGTATTCGATCTGGATTACAAGGCACAAAGTGCATATTTTGTATTTTCTAATTTTGTCCGGATTACATGGAAATGTGAATTTCTAGAGATTCGGGCTAGCGGAGATCTTCTGTACTTTTAAACAGTTCTTCTTTTTTAATTGTTATAAAATATATTTATTACAATATTATTTATTGTAATAATTATTGTAATTATTAATAAAAATATTATTTATTACAAATTGTTTTATAATTTGAATATAAAAGTAAAATTTATTAACCCTTTTAAGCCCAATATTGTCTGTATGGAAAACAATTAAAAAAAGACTCAAGATTATTTTTTGTTATTTTTTGCTTTTGTCTTTTGTACTAATGAAATTAAGGACAAAGCAATAATATCAGAAATAGTTTATATATATATTAAGAAGTAAAGTGTGTGATCTTAAACATTTTTGT